GAAAATGAAGATTTCAGTGGTTTTGTGGTTTTTAATGACGAATTTCGTTTATCAATTAAAATGTTCAATTCACTTTTTTTTGTTAATATGATGTTTAAACAGACCAGATTTTGTTAGATTAAATAAATCGATTCATCTCATATAAAATAACAAGTATATACAGTATCCGTCAGAAGTCCCGGGACATGTGAAAATCCAGATAAAGTTGAATCGTTTTTCACCCTCAGTCCACTGTAATACGGAAGAGTTCTTAGTCGAACACTGATTCCACCAACGATTGCTATTATCTCTGCTATGAAAGCACTTTTCAATGCTGCAGAATCTATCATTCGAAAGCTCTATATCTCAGCTTTCTTCAATATCATTTTTATTAGAAAAGTCTTTTCAATTGCTAAGATATGATCCTCTAAAGTTATGTTAATGGCATCGCAACTTCAGTGATTTTTAAGTCGTTACTTCATAAATCGAATTTCGATTAGATGATTTTCTTGAAATTTTTTTACAGTACTCTCAGATGTGTATTGGTGTATTCTGGAACTTTCAGAATCATAGCTCGTACGAAACTGGTATCACCGCGCTGGAATGACATCGTTAGTGCACAGCTCACTAAGCATTTGTACCACAGTGAATCGAACTGTTCTTTCTCCACAAGATAGTACGTAATTGGGGCTATAATTATCGCTAAAAACATATCGAATAAAGCTGAGATATAGAGCTTTCGAATGATACATTCTGCTGCATTGAAAGTGCTACCGGGTTGGTGCTTGTGATCAGTTTTTCGAGCTCTATCTCTGGTAAAAATTTGGTGGAAAACGGTTCAAATTTACCCGGATTTTCACATGTTCCGGGACTTCTGACGAGTACTGCATAATAATATCGGATGTTACAACAAACAGAAAATCTACCAATAGATAACATAATAGAATTGGAAAAATATATGACAAAACGAAAGAGAATGAGTAGATATATATATACAGAATATACTTTAACATATTTGTCTTATGATATGTTTATCTTGCGTGTCATAATAATGTTCTCTTCAACTAATCGAAAACTTTTAATTTACTTAGCATCAAGTGATGAAAAAAATTATTGTGTATTGACTTTTTTTTTAAAGAAAGTAACCAATACATCATTAAAAGTTTGATCTTTCAGTTGTTCGTATATACACAGGGTACCAAAATATTGGCTGAAATAAACTCGGATTCAAATCCACAGAAACGTGAATCTCACAATTCCCCAATGTTGTTATTTCAGAAAAGGGACAAATAGAAACTCAAAAACCATTTTTTCTTATATTCTTGAGTGAGAGTTTATTACTGATATTTATCTTAGATACTTTCATATTATCAAATAGTATGTATTAAAAAAATGTCGAGAACTCGACAACTTGACAGCACTGAATTTTATTAAGATCATTGTATCGGATATATACAAATTTGAAACATGACTTGTAAACTCGTATTTTGTTCAAATTCGAGATTAATTTGTTTAATTTTTATATTAATTGAACAATGACAAATTTTTCGATTATTTTATAATTATCTATTCAAGTAAAATAATTTGTAACAATTTCAAAGAAAACAAAAAAATAAAGCAAAGTCTTCATTTATTTTTTTACTTTAAATTTGAACTTCTGTTAAAATATATAATAAATATAAAACCATCAGGTTTTGATATTCATGTAGAAAGTTTGAAGCTAAGATGCATATTTAGTTTATTTAATATGTAAGCAATAAAGAAATAACAGAGACAATATCTCTATGAGATAAACAAGAACAACCTCAAGATGACAGGAATATTCACATATGTGTACGTGCACAATCACCTCATAGAAAATTCCAAAGAACGAAAGGAATATACTTCTTCGATGCGCAGCAATAGAACAACATAGAAATTCTAACATAGGTTAAATAACGTAAAATAGTTTGTAAGAAAACAAAAAATACTTGATGTTCTTGATCAATAACTAGCGTCATCAATCGAATGCATTCCCGATAAGCTTATTCAATAATCCATACTATTATTTGTTCAATTTTTACACGTATATATTATAATATAGATCTTTGATAAATTTATTTCAATTTCAACTAATATTAAACTATGCTTTTTAATTCAACAATCCGGTGTATTATTTTTTATTTATTAATGACAAATTTTTTTGTTAATTCAAATGATATATTTGATATGTTTAATAATGTTAAAGATCAAGTTGCTGAAAAAGTTGATTATGCATCAACAAAAGTAAAAGAAAAAGTTCAAAAACATGTATTCAATGTTGTATTTATTCTTTTCATTTTTTTTATATTTAATAAATTAAATATTTTAGAAAGATGATCTAACATGTCCATCAACATTTACAACAGAATATCGAACAGTACTTACTGCATATCGTCATGTAATCAAAGATTGGATTGAAAAATTTCCTGTATAAAATCTTGTTTCTTTTCTTTTTTTTTTTTTTGTATAATCTGATTGATTAAATATTTTTAGTCAAAAAATTCTAAAGAATATCGTCTTTTACTTGAATTATCATCGAATGATTTTGATCGACTTAATCAATTTGCATTGACAACACGTTATGAACAAGTTAGATATTATTAATTATATTATTTTATATAATAACACTAGATGTTTTTTTTTTTTTTTTTTTAGAAAGATGTTCTTCATGAAGTTCATGTTATATCTGATCTTCTTAAACGTATTGTATATAAAATAGAAGAAGATAAACCAATATTTAATAATTTAACATGGTCCGTATGGTTACGATCATTTGATATTAATATTATATTTAAAGTAAATATTTGAAAATTAATTATATAATCAAAAATTTGATTCTATAGTAAATGATAAATTGCTTTTTTGAATGAAAACTATATATATTATGTAAATTCAAATGAATATCTTGAAAACAATTCTAATCCTTACTTTATAGATAATGAGATATTATAATTTTAAGATAGATTTTTAATGGATGTCATAGTTCGCTTTGAGAATATGTACATAAGTCCTGTTTAGAAATGATTTATTCATTGTAGTATTTCTTTCATTTTAAAACTTCATGGAACTAAGAATATTAGAAAAAAAAAAAATATCGAAAATGTTCTTTTGCCACGGGTGTTGATTCATACATTGACTTAAATGTTTTGTATTAGTTTTCAACTTGATTCATTAATAAAGAATAGTCAAAGAATTGAGAACTTCAAAAGAATTTTAATATTCATCATCTTCGAAAATATTCAAAAGAATATAGATGAAATTTATGCAATAATTCTATTTTAGACTCTTTTGGTTCTAATTGTGATTGGAACATTAAGTTTTATTAGTATTCGTATTCATCTTCGTCGTGGTCGATGGTTTACAACATTCTTTATAATCGCTTTTATTGTTTCTGTTATACAAAATTGGTATACACTTTATCAGGTTAATCTATTTAATTAAAATCATATAAAAATAAAATAAATTTATTCTATAGGAAGCACAAGCAAAAGTTGATGAAGTTCTTATGAAAAAAATACCAAAACATTGTCAAGGTCAATCAATGAGTGTATGGGATATTATGAAATCTAAATTTGGTCGTTTTTTTCAAGTACCAACTAATGAATGTTTAGAATATTATAAAGCGTTACGTGCTACACCTCATTCACAAGTTACACCTGTTCAAGTAAAATTTTTTTTTTTTGGTGTCTATTTATAAAAATAAATTTATTTTGATTGTTTTCTAAAAGGCTTTATCAATGACTTTTGCTCAATTATTTGTTACACCACTTGGTGCAATAGGTGAAAGTTTATCACAATTTTTTGCTGGTACTATGCGTCATGTACCTATGATTTTATGGCCAATAATTATTTTAATAATTCTATTTATTGTTATTGTTCTTATTTTGATGTATTCCCGATATGAAGTACATTTACCTTTTATGATGGGTTCACTTCGACCATCTCCACATGTTGTTTTAACAGGAACAACAAATAATATTGAACAAATAGAAAATTTATCAAATCAATCTCAAAATTATGTTCATGAATTAGAAAATAAAATAAAAAATTTACAATTACAATTAGAAGAAAAAAATCTTCAAATTGAATATAATACAATATTACCAATACGTACTAGTCGATCATCAAATATTGATAAAACAAATCAACAACGTGAACGTTCATTATCAAATCGAAGAATAAATATTGATGCACAAAGTGATAATGAATTAAGACAACGAACAACATCACCAACTATTGGATTTAAACCAGACTTTCTTCCTGATTAGTAGTTTTTTTTTTTGCTCTGTGTATGTTTGTACTTTTATTTTCTATCCCAGTGTGATATATATATATTTCGGCAAGATTTAAACATGAAACAAACTACTATAGTACGATAAGTTTTTTTTTTTTTCTAATGTTGATTACGCATTATACTTTGATAATATTTTACTTTTCGTTAATGGTTAAAATAATAAAGTTCAGTGACTAAACTATTGATGTTCAATTCATAGATGTTAATTATGTTAAAAAAATACATTCGTAAGCTTTGTGGAATTCACATTATGCTTTTCAATAAAAAAAAGTGTAGCGAATGTATGTTTTAAATCGAGATTTTACAGCTTTTTCTTCTCATGTGCAGTGAGTTGACTTAAGAGGGAAAGATGTGGGTTGGAATCCAATAAGAACACAGTCGCACAAACATCCCACATTTATGCTACTTCATCAGATGAGAATATATCTGGAACAGTCGAGCACAATGAAGATAAATTAGAGAAGATGAACGCGCCCACAATCAGTTTTGCTAGTTCCTTCTAGAATTTGTGTCAAGGATATGACTTATGAAACTGTTCAAAAGTGGAATAGCCGATGATGTCTTGTGTTATGAAAATTTTGTGTCAATGGCTAGACATTGTTCTTAAATTGTTAAAGTCGTCACGGCTAGGAATATTTCCATTTTAGATGCTATTCAAACATTAGATCGTCACCAGAAATTGAGAAGATCTCGTTTGATAAAAAGCATCAGTCACTTTTTTAAGCAGTCTCCAACGCGATAAAGGATGATCCATAAGTCCTGGGCAGTCACAGGAAACTTTATCTTTCTCCCTTATAACAATTCTAAAAAAAAGCTCAAACGTTTGTATATAATCTCGTGTAATATGGCGAATATTATCCTAAATTTTCATGTCTCTATTTCTACAAATAAGGAAGTCATGTAGGTTAACATTTTAGATAATTTTTTTTTTGATTTCCTAAAAACAACAAACAATATATTTATTCGTCTACACTGAAAATACAATCGCAAGTAATGCATAATTTTATATGTTCATATTAATTGGACATTGTAATTCTTTCAAAAATGAATTAATTAAATTTGAGCACATGTCAAGATTTATTGTATTTCAAATCTGTACAATTTTGTTTTTCAATATTGTTATATTTTTAATTTCATATTCATCGATCTTCTCTTTAAAACATTCTCATACATTTTCTATTTGTCATACAACTGCCATTTTACTATCTATTTTATTCAATACATAAGCAGACCAATATTTTGGAATCAGTATCACGTTTTATGTAAATCTTGTAATGTTAAAATTTGTTCTATTAACTTTTTATATTTTTGGAGATATAAATGTTTGATAAAAACCGTAAAATTGAACCATAACATCAAAAGGTAAAAATAACGAAAGAAAAATCGAACAATGGCAACTATTGATGAAAACTTCTCAAAAACGAATAACGAATGATGTTCATGAGACTAATTAGAACTACTCAGTATTGTAGGCAATTATATAAATAGACTATGGACATCTAATTAATATTCTCATGTAACTCTATTCCACATAATTCTTATAGAATATATATATGTTATAGTAGCATTATATGTGCATTTTTCTTTATGTTTCTATGAAAATTCTTGGTGATTTTTTGTTTTTAGGATATGGAAAAAAAAATTATCTAAAATGTTAACCTATATGTCTTCCTTATTTGTAGAAATAGAGACATAAAAATTTAGGATAATATGTACCATTTGACAAGGGATTATATAGAAACGTTTGAGCTATTTTAGATTTTTATAATGGAAAAAGAGAAATATTTCTGTGAGGATTCAAGACTTATGAATCCTTCTTTAAAGGATTCACAAACTAAATTTCGGTATATTAATTAAAAATAGTCAGCGATGTTCAGACACACTCAAATCCAAACTTAAAATTAACTAAACATTTGGATGTTTCGATGATTTCACATATACCTCAAGGAATGCTTGGATGATTTCACAAATATATGACACTTTCGAAACTGATTGAAGACTTTCTGAACATGATCCATTCGTCTCGAACACTGAGCCAGGGTCCGAGCTGGGTGCATGTCTAACCTAGAATACAGAAATATATGTTCAAAGAAAAAACTTCAATTAGAAGCTTTCAGAATTTTTCTAGGGAGACTGGTTTTTCATAGCACTGTATGCTAGTATATTGTGGTGTCTATTAAAATTTGTTTGATTAGGTAGAAAAGTATTTTGAAATACTTAAAACTTATATTTCAAAAGTAGTTTTGAAATGTTTTGAAGATCTTAATGTTTTTTGATGAAAAAAATACGTTACGGTTCAGAGCTAAACCAAGGATTTGCTGTTTAGAATCCTATACAGCCAGATATGAAGGTTAAAAACGAAAATGGTCTTCTATACCTATAGAAAATATTTATAAGCAATTGTAGTAAAATTTTCAGTCCATTCGGACAATGTTTGAGGTAGTTCAAAATGTACCATGAAATGGATCTGCGAAAAACCAGAGTTTCCATCTGAAAAAATCTCAAAATCAGGTTTTGAAATTTGGTTCCTCTCACATGTATTTTCTTATTTTAGATATTCTATGTTTGTTAAGAATTTTAACCTGATCGGTGACACCCTGTTCGACAACCAGCAAGGATTACAGAAGAAGACGATACCCTTAATGATATATGTAGGAAAATATCTAGCATTCATGAAGTTAGTTAAAGAAATATTCGTTTTTATTCATTAAAAAAAAATCAAGATCGATAGTATTTATTTATTTGAAAGAAAAAAAACATCAAACTTTAAAAAAGACGCATAAATTTTTGTATTCTATGATTATTTTTGTCTGAAACGTATAAATTCATTGATGAATCTAAAGCAAGTCCAGATGGATAATTTAATAATGTTGATGAATTTCCTGATGAACCTGTTGTACCGGCAATAGTGCGTCCACTTGAAATAACAGATGGATATCGACAATACAATTGAATTCGATGATTATTACTGTCAGCGATGAATAGATTGGCAAAAAGATCAGTTTTAACTGCTATAGGCAAGTTAAGCGTAGTACTTGAATTGCTGTGTACACCATTTGTACCAGCGACAATCGTACCGTTTGACGCACCTGGCCACCATTGAACAATAGTATGCTGATATGAATTCGCTATATACATTACACTTTTATTATATAATGTATCAACAGTAAAACCTTGTGGTTCGTTCAATTGATTTGAATTAGAACCAGCTCCTTGATTACCAGCTGCTATTGTACCATTTACCCATATAGCATTTTTGGTAAAGTCACATGCATAAATCGATTGATTGTAAACATAAACTCCATATAAGTCACCAACACCCCAACCTGTTGAAACTGTTGAGCCCATGACACTGCCATTTGGAAAAAATTGTATACGTTGATTTAATGTATCAGCAACATAAATATTTCCAAAGGAATCAACATATACATCTTTTGGAGTGTTAAGCTGGCTAGATGATGAACCTGAGCTACCTGTTCCAGCTATGACTACTCCAGATGTTGCACCAGGTAACCATTTAACAATTCGATGGTTTAATGAATCAGCAATGTAAAGAATATCTGTTGTTGGATCGATAAATATATTCCATGGTTCGTTCAATTGATTTAATGCAGAACCGCTTATTCCATTGCCTGCAACTGTTATACCAGTATCGTTCCATATCCAAGTTGAACCTAAAAGAATTATATTCGAAGTCTTTTTGCTGAAACAATAACAACAACAACAAAGCAAACTAACACAATGGGGACATAGTAGTCGTGGAAGTTGTCGATGTTGTGGATGTCGTTGATGTTGTTGAAGTTGTCGATGTTGTTGTTGTTGATGTCGATGTTGAGGTCGTTGACGTTGTAGATGTTGACG